GGTGAGCTTTTTGATTTCCCCGTGTCAATGGAAAATCTCGTAAGTTTGTCTCGGGCTGGCTGAAAAGATTTCCATGGCTAGCTTACTCCAAATATTTCGATGGAGCATTTTGTTTAGCTTGTGTTTGTTTTGGAGTTCAGTGTGGGCGAAACGCTAATAAGTTAGACAAATTAAGGATAGCCCAGAGACAAATGCATAGAAATAATGCTCCTGCTGCAACTCCTGAGGGATATTTCAAGATCAATCTCACTAGAGTTTTTCTTGACCATGTACTCCAGCAGCTCAACACCAGATTCCAGGATGATGTATTTGTTTGCTATAAAGGTATTTCGATTATTCCCTCTGTTTTACTAGCTACTGACCCTGCCTGGAAGGCCAATGTTTTGGAATTTTGTAACCATTACAGACAGGACATACCAAATTATGCAGGATTACAGGCAGAGCTTTTGTTATGGGAGAGATTGTGGAAGGGGAGGGATAACAGAGGAGATATTATTCCTGACAGTTTGGAGGCTACACTGAAGGATATTGACAAAGATGCATATGTCAACATCTATTCCATGCTGAAAGTCCTGATCACAATTCCAATTTCATCTGCATCTTGTGAGAGATCCATATCATCCCTTCGGAATCTTAAGAACTATTTGAGAAATACAATGACCCAGGACAGACTGAATGGATTGGCACTGATGCATGCCCACAGAGACATGGATTTTGACCTTGAACGTATAATAGATTTATTTGCTGAGTTACATCCTAGGAGAATGAGAATGGCAAACATTTTGTAATAATTTTTTGCACCAGCTGTTTCTAGAGTACTTGTGAGTTATGTTCTGTCTGGGTTATGGCCTTTAAGTCTCATAATCCTTAAACTGATGGAGAACAGTACAGAAGCTCAAACTGGTGCCTGTATAACTTTTTTCAACTCATTTCAAGGTTATTTATTATTTTGTTTTACTTGTGATGATTTTCCATTGACATTGACATTGGGTTTTCATGTTAAGCTTAAATGGTTAACAAACATTTTCACTGAACTCAACCAGCTTCACAGCAATTCCCAAGGATGAAGAAAGGCTAGTATTATTTCAAATTATCATTTTACTTCAATTTGTATATCATTTTATGATTCTTATAATTTATATTTTTCTAATAATTGTTTTATTTTTTGAATTCCAGCTCCCAACACAGGCTAACCATCCATAAAGCCCTTCTCTCTCTCTCAAATTCTTTTCTGTGTTGTGCTCCTATAAATGAAATGAATAAAAGCCAGCTCAGGAAATGTTGTTTTTAGTGTTGCTAAACATTTGGATTTATTGAGCCTGGCTTTCATTCATTTCATTCATTATAGGAGCACAACACAGAAGAAATTTGAGAGAGAGAAGGGCTTTATGGATGGTAAGCCTGTGGTCCCAAGGATGAAAAAGGCAAGTAGATTTTTATTATCAATCTTTAAACTATATCATCAATTGTGCTTGTTTTTCTTTTGTTATCAAAAACACTAACACTTGGTTCGTTTTTTTTTCTCCACATCTTGATTTTCCTGACTGGGAGGTGATGTTTTCCAGTGTGAAAAGTCTTGGTGATGACTTGGCCTTCCTGAAAACACTATATACACTGGTTTGCACAGTAGCTAAAGGTGGAATATTTGTAGATCAGAGTGTTTCCTGTAGTACTTTCAAGAAAAATAAATGTTTTTTGCCTTTTTGATTACATGCTTTTTTAGTCTTTTGGGGGCAATTAAATTTTCTAAAAATGCATGAAATGGCCTTTAGAGAGCTCCAAATTTCAAATTTTCTCGGGGGGGGGGGGCATGCCCCCGAACCCCCCTAGCAGGAGTGGGTCCTCGGGTGGAAACTACTCACTCAAAATCCTGGATCCACCCCTGGTATTTCCAGGGCGAAAATTGGTTTCGTCTCCAAAAATTTAGCTGCATATCATTATTAAATCTGTGTATCAAACAAATTTTAAACATGTTTAAGCTTTGGTGTGAACGGGGTATAAGCTCCGGTTTACTGAACTCAACTACTTTTGCATATTCATGCTGACAGTTCTTTCTGTCATCCGACATTTTTTTAAAAAACCCGGGAAAATGTATTGTATTCCAACTCGGAAAACAGGAGGAGAGGCTACCTAGCTAGAAGAGAAATTTTCAAAATGGTGGACGAAGTAAGGCTGGAGTCAGCATGATTGCACGAAGGGTGTTTGAGCGAGCGCAGAGCGCATGAAAGTGACACCTGGATGAACTCGTCTAGTTTGAGAAGAAAATATTAACCCTTTTTCCAGGGACGCTAGGAACCGTTAATTCTAGTTTTAATGGGCCGTTTTCAGTATAGAAATCGACTATGGCTTTCGAACAAGAGATTCAGATTTAAGGACATCAAACATGAGCACAGAGAACTTATGTGGAACGTTTTAAGTTAGCACGTTTAGACAAATTTAAGGGGAATTAGAGAAGAAGTATGGGGGATTTTTCAGGAACAGGAGGAAATTTCAAAAGCGTTGGGAACCGTCGATTCATCAACTCTTTGTAAACAATATTGCAAAGGCAAGAGGAAATATTCTTCATTTAAATTGGATTTGGCGACCTGACAAAAGTTTTGTTCATAAGCTATGAAAGGAAGGTTTTGACAACGGTAAGTCCAGTTTTCACTGTTTTGTCTGTAATTTCAAACGCACCGAAATAAAATCTAAGTCCACAAAGTGACGCGATTCGCATGCGCGGCGGCCATGATGTAATAAATTGTTCGCTATGAACTGTCTGGAAATACCTTTGCTAATGGCAATTGTTATGATAAAACATCCATTCATGTAGGAGTATTACTGTTTGAAATAAATTTTACACCGAATTCTGCCCATTTTCTCTGCCTGTTCAAACCTAATCTATTGGTACTGAATTTCAAAGGTAACACCTTGTTAGATATGTCCTTCCTTCGGTTGAATAAATAGAGAATAATACATGGGCGCGCGTAGATATGGAATTTCTCTTCGAGTGTTTCACTCGATAGCTCACGAGTGAGATGTCGATTTGAACACGAGAAGAGAAATTCCATATCTACAAGCAACCATGTATTATTTTGTTTATCATATAAACACAAAAGCCCTTTTACTGGGAAGCAGGCCGACTATTTTCAATGAAAATAAATGAATCGAAAATCCCCGAATAACAATCATAGAGTGCGTTGGCTCTAACTCTTAAGATAGAAAAATGCGCTGAACCATGATTGCAAAAACAACTTTCAGGTAAACGGCCAAAATCGGCCGATGGCAAATCTTCCAGTTGTCGATTTTCATTCTCAGCCGAGAAATGCTAACATCAAAGCCACTAAATACGTAACTTTCGGTTTTTTCTTTTAGTATATTGGTTTTCTTCCCCTTCTTCTATCAGCGATACGGACTTTTTAGTGTTTTAGCCGCCATAATTCGGGAAAGCTCCGACAAATAACTTGTATTTAGAGTCGCGAAGGCTCTACCGTTCATTCATCAACCTGACCGAGTGGCACCAAAGGCGAGTGACGTGTCAGCAGCTAATTGACTATGTCAATACACGTCAAAAAATACGATATTTTTTCACGTGTGCTGTTACGGCTTTTCTCAGGGCCGGAAATCCCTGTATAACACCGCAGTTTACGTGATTAAAAGAGTTTCTTTTCTTCTAGCATTGTAAATACCTTTTGCTGTCAAAGAGTTTTTCCCAGTTGATGCTTACATGGCAAAACAAAAATGTCAAGTACTGACAAGGTACAAAAGAAATGGAAAATCACTAAATTCTGTACAGAATCTACAAAACGCGTGGGGAACTGTTGTGTGGAAAAGGCATTTAAATGCAAAACTTGTGAGAAGTCTTTTGCACAAAAACTAAGGGGCATCTACAAGTACATGAAAGATGCTACACTGGAGAGAAGCTATACCAGTGCAAAACTTGTGATACGTATCTTACACTAAAGGGAGATCTGCTAGTACATGAGAGATCTCGCTCTGGAAAGAGCCCATACCAGTGCAAAAGTTGTGACAAGTGGTTTAAAGGCAAATCTACAGGCATATGAAAGATTTCACATCGGAGAGAAGAAATACAAGTGCAAAAGTTGTGACAAGTGGTTTTCTCTAAAAGGGACTCTACAAAAACATGAAAGATACCTCGCTAGAGAAAGGCCGTATCACTGCAAACATGTGATAAGTGGTTTCCTTGAAAAAAGAGATATACAAGTACATGTGAGATTCCACACAGGAGAGAAGCCATACCAGTGCAAAATTTGTGAAAATTGCTTTTACTCAGAAAAGAGGTATTCAAACCCATGAAAGATCTCATACAGCAGAGAAGCCATACCAGTGCAAAACATGTGACAAGTGGTTTACACAAAAGGGAAATTTACAAAGACCTGAAAGATCCCACACTGGAGAGGAGCCATGCCATTGCAAATCTAACGATAAGTGTTATACCCAATGAGTCAATGAAAGATCAACATCTTAGGTTCACAAGACTCTCATATAGATTTATCTAAGATTATACAAAATGAAAAATCCTGGTAATACTTCTCCTAATCTGTCCTGACTATTTTTATAAACAGTAGCTGTACATTTAATATCCTAAATTAGGTAAATGTAACGGTTTTTTTTGTTGTTATTTAATACTGTCTCTTTCCCTCGGCTATTAAGGCATGGCCCACCTAGATTAGCCTTTACTAGTTGCGGGCATGCCCTTTTCTGTAAAATTTCATTGGAAATTAATAAAGAGTGTGTGTGTGTGTGTCTGTGTGTGAATTAGTTCTTGAGTCTCTCTTACTGTATATACCTTATGCTGTTTTACCTTTTATCTAGGGAAACATCATAAAGTCAACCTCCGGTTTTTCTTTTCAAGATGTTTTATTACTTTTGTTTTTTCATCTTGAATAAATATGTTATGTTATCCTGGTTCAACTGCTCAACCTCGTTTCCAGTATCCTCTCTTCCCTGAATGAACAATACAGAGGAATCTGGGAATGAGGCTGCATTAACAAGATGGCGTCGTAAGTTGACTTTGTCTTAATTTTGATAACATTGTCTTGAGGCAAATCACTTTGGAAAGCATATGAACATGTAAGGTATGAGTAGAATATAAAATTTAGCTTATTTCCCAAGATGTCAATAGTGGCTGGGTATGTATCTAAATATTAGACGTTTCGGTGTGAGGTATCACGCGGTATTTTTACGCGTTGCGCCAGCAACACTCGTAAAATAACTCGGCGTTGCTACACACCAAAAGCGCCTAATATCGAATAAGCTATTAATTTTCCAACTGCCTTATTTTATATTTCGAGGGCCATAGTTTCTAAGTTGAATTTCGTTTGCAGCTGAGCTATTAATCAATTTAGGAGGCTTTACTGTACTAAACCACGATAGGGCGCTATAGTAAACAGAATTTGTCTGGAGACAAACTATGAATGCCTGTCTGGGTTTAGGTAGAAAGTACATGTTTCATCGTCTGTTTATCAAAATGTTATTTCTTAACTTTTCGTTTCGGTAGCTGTGATCCTGTTTAAAAGCTTGAAATAGAGCTGGCTTTGTTTTTTATTTCTTGTTGATTCATTCATATGTACTCAGTGAAACAGAATTTATTTTTCCAGTAGATCAGAGAAGTTCGTTTCCTCTTTTTGTTACCAGATGGTTCAGTGGTGTTGCTATTATTAACGATTTTATGGATATGCATGTGGTACTTGCTGATAAGGGTACCAGGAGCCTTGGTTGTATTCAGTGGCCCAGGTTCCGGAGTTTTATTCATCTAGGCTTTCTTTTTCAAATCCTATGGAGTTACTGCTATCAATAATAAGAACTGAAGTAGTTTATTTTCATTTTAAATTTACTTTGGAATGTCTCAATCGTTGAAATGTTTCCATTACCATGTAGCATATCTTGAACAAAAAGTATATCTATGAAACCAATGTTTCAGCAGTGATGCTCCCAGGTAAACTGCAATTTAAGCAATTCCAGAAAGGAAGGCAAAAAAAAATGTAGGCCTCGACTCCATTCAAACCTGTGCCTCTCAGATACTATCAATGGAGCTATGAAGAGTACACACCAATATTTTTTTTGTGAATGCACCACAGAAGGTTTGGATTGACAAATAGTTAGCAAATTTTTGTTCAAGATGGCTGTCCCTTTGTCACCCTATAGCATATGAAGGAGTTTCCTTACTAAAGAAATGTAGATAAAATAAGTTATTTGGGCAACAGATATTTTGGAAAAAAAAACAGATGAATATATTTTGATGGAAGTGAGGACTGTTTTCTCAAATGAAAGACTAAAAGCCTTGAAAATGAAAAACAGGAAAATTATACAGTAGGAAATGTTTATACTCATTAACTGGATTTGAGGTAGGAGTGTATATAAAAGAAGGTAATTTTTCCATTTTTGTGGCTGTTACCTCACATAGGAAGCCATGTATGTCATTGAAATGAGTCAGTGAGTGATTAATGGTAACAATAGAGTTTGGAACTTGACCCAATTTTGACCCAATGTTTCCTGGTGCTACTGATTGTTTGTTTCGGAGTAATATAGAAGATGATAAACATCTCGAAATGATCCTAGGATGGTGCACGAAAAAAAAAAGCTTTTCCTCGTAGAATTATCTTAAAAGGTGTGATTGGGGCATTGTGAAAACATAGAGGAATTTTTTTCTTTGAACAGAGGGCATTTTAACACTTGAACTAGCGAATTATACCTAGTAGATTGGAAAATATAGTCTTGTTTAGTCTCTGTCATGACACTACAAAAGATGATAACATCTGTCAAAATAATTTTACACTGGTGTCTCTGGCACATAATTGACAACAAGACTTTTCATCATTTCAGAAATAACTAAATAGGTGATCTGCAAGTCATACAAGCTTTGAAGACTATTATTTATTTATTTGAGGAGGGAGTGTTTTACCATTTCAATCAGCAACTTATGCCCAAAAGAGCTGCCAAATTTGAGAAGGGAGCGAGGTCTGAAAAATGATACCTTGAGTTTAACATGTGACCAGTGGAAGGGTGAGATGGTGGAATACCCTACAATGGGGAATGCTTTGTTGTATGAAACAAAAATGGAATTGCAGTGAAATGAGAAAATCGTTTTTAACTAACTGGGAAAATTAAAAGAAGCATAGTTTAATCATTATTGGGGCCTAGAGGATAGATAGGAACAGTGAGCTTCTTGAGCTAGCAGACATGAATTATCATAATTATTACTATTGTTATCATCATCATCATCATCATCATCATCATCATCATCATCATTATTATTATTATTATCCTTCTTGATATTGTTAATATTTTAATTTGTTGCCATTCAATTATTGGTTGAGTGTCCATTCGTCAATTTACTCTTGAATCATCTTTCTCTTGTGGAACAGGGTACTTGTAAATATGTGGGATGCAGTAGGCTTTCTGCATGTGAGACAAATCTTATGCAACACTACCTTCTAGTTTCATTATACAACCTCAAATTCTTTTTAATACTATACAAATTGTGCTATATCAGTTGCTACATGTGGTGTTAAATTTTTTTTTGTGATTTTTCAACATTGTCTTCCACCCTCTAACCAGACTATTTCTATTAAAGTCTATTGGGAATCTCTTTTGTAGTGTCCATTAGAAATCTCTGTTGGCTACTTTTTGTACTTTTAGTTGCTCCACTTGATGGTGACAGGTGGAACAAATTGTTCATGCTGTTACAACTTTGGATTAAAGTTAAAAACCATTGGAACAACATGTAGATTGTATGAACTGGTTGTGTGATGCTATGTAAAGGGACTTGTTGGGAATGTACTTCCCTTTGTATGTCCTTACTCATGTGAAGGTTTTTCTTTCAGGGCTTTGGCCAGCAATTGCACTGTCTGTGAATCCCTTTGTTCGTGGCAATTGTTCTAATAAAACTTCCTTTCCTGGAAGAGTATTACTGTTTGAAACATATTTTACCTAACTAATCGTCCAATTTCTTTGTTTATTCAAACTTAAGACATTGCTTCTGAAACCCTGTCAAATATGCATGTCTGGTCGAGTAAATCTCTTTTTTTTGTTTGCTTCTTACATTTTAGAACACTTTTGCTGTTAAGGACTGTTTCTAGTTTATGCTTCCATGGCCAAAAGAAAAACGTCCACTGCTGGAGAAAAGCCATATCAGTGCAAAACTTGTTACCAGTGTTTTGCAAAAAAAGGAAATCTACAAAGACATGAGAGATCTCACACTAGTGGAAAGCCTTACCAGTGCAAAGCCTGTGACAAGTGCTTTCATAGACAAGGAGATCTAGAAGTCCATGAGAGGTCGCACACTGGAGAGAAGCCAACCCACCGCAAAACTTGTGACAAGTGGTATAATAAAAGTGGAAGTCTACAAATTCATAAAAGAATTCACACTGGAGTAAAGCCTTACAAGTGTAAATCATGCGACAAATGGTTTACTCGGAAAGGAAATCTGCAAGTACATGAAAGAACGCACACTGGAGAGAAGCCATACCAGTGCAAAACATGTGAAAAGTGGTTTACTCAAAAAGGTCATCTACAAAAGCATGAAAGATCACACACTGGAAAGAAGCCATACCAGTGCAAAACTTGTAACAAGTGGTTTACTCGGAAAGGAAATCTGCAAGTACATGAAAGATCTCACACTGGAGAGAGACTCTTTCAGTGCAAAACTTGTGATAAGTGGTTTGCGCAAAAAGAAAATCTAAAAGCACATATAAGATGTCACACTGGAGAGAAGCCATACCAGTGCAAAACTTGTGATAAGCAGTTTAATCAAAAATCAAGTCTAGAAATTCATAAAAGAATCCACACTGGAGTAAAGCCTTACAAGTGTAAATCATGTGATAAGCAGTTTACTATTAAAGGAAATCTACAAGTACATGAAAGATCCCACACTGGAGAGAGACCATTCCACTGCAAAACTTGTGGTAGGAGGTTTAATCAAAAAGGAGGTCTACAAAGACATGAAAGAACCCACACTGGAGAGAAGCCATACCAGTGCAAAACGTGTGATAAGTGGTTTGGTCAGAAAGGTCATCTACAGAAGCATGAAAGATCACACATTGGAGAGAAGCCATGCCAGTGCAAAACATTTAAAAAGTGGTTTACTCAAAAAGGTCATCTACAAAAGCATGAAAGATCACACACTGGAGAGAAGCCATACCAGTGCAAAACTTGTGACAAGCGGTTTGCTGGGAAACAAAATCTGCAAATACATGAAAGATCCCACACTAAAGAGAAGCCATACCATTGCGAAACCTGTGACAAGTGGTTTGCTCAAAAAAGAGATCTACAAGTCCATAAGAGATCCCACACTGGAGAGAGGCCATTCCACTGCAAAACTTGTGATAGGAGGTTTAATCAAAAAGGAGGTCTACAAAGACATGAAAGAATCCACACTGGAGAGAAGCCATACCACTGCAAAACATGTGATAAATGGTTTACCCAAAAAGAAGCTCTACAAGTCCATGAGAGATCCCACACTGGAGAGAAGCCATACCATTGCAAAACTTGTGACAAGTGGTTTGCTCAAAAGGGTCATCTAACAGTACATGAAAGATGCCACACTGGAGAGAAGCCATACCAGTGCAAAACATGTGACAAGTGGTTTACACAAAAAGAAACTCTAAAAGCACATATGAGATCTCATACTGGAGAGAAGCCATACCAGTGTAAGATATGTGAAAAGTTTTTTACTACTAGAAGAAGTTTGCGAATGCATGAAAGATCACACACTCAAGAGAAGCCATACCAGTGCAAAACGTGTAATAAGCGGTTTTCTCAGAAAGGAAATCTACAAGTACATCAAAGATCCCACACTGGAGAGAAGCCATACCATTGCAAAAGCTGTGACAAGTGGTTTAGTCATAAAACAACTCTGAGAGTACATGAAAGATCCCACACTGGAGAGAGACCATACCAGTGCAAAGCTTGTGACAAGTGGTTTACTCAGAAGGGAACACTACAAAGGCATGAAAAATTGCACTCTGGACAGCAGCCATTTTCTTCAGATTACGATGAA